ATAATTATATGAGTTGTCATAATCGGGTGTATTGTCATAATCGGGTGTATTGTCATATTCGGGTGTATTGTTATAATCGGGAATATTGTTCTAATCATGTTGTCGTAATTTTATGTAATGTAATTAGGTATAGCGTCAAATTCAAGTCTATTATTTTATATTATATTATTTACCTATATTATATTATTAACTCATTTTATATTATTTACATATTTGAATTTACAAACTTATGAAATATTGTTCTGTCACTTTCCCCTATCCATTTTTTAATTTTTTGTTTAAAGCGTTTGTATTGTTGTATATTTTTTAAAAAATCGGGAATTATTGAAAATATTCTAGGTGCTAGATAGGAACAGCATTTTTGACCTGCAGTTTTTTCGCATCTTGGTGTAATATATGCTCTTCTCTTAATTCTCGTTTCGTACTTGTGAGAAATGGGTTCTATTTTTTTTTTGTTTAGTAAATAATAATATTTTTAAACAAAAAATCTGCCGAATATCTAATAGCCCCGATAATTTAAATAGGGAGTTTGTGGAGTAAGTACGACTTTTCCCATATATTATTTTTATTAGCCATTTTTGAATAATGTCTTACTCCGCCCCATCCTATTATTCCATAACTCAACTGCGATTGAATTAATCCATAATAGAGCGTCTTTAAGTGAACTTCAGTTAACAATTTTTTAAGGTGTCTAAATTTCCCTAACATGCCTCTTAATTTTTGTACAACCGATTTAATATGAAGGTCCCATCTTAGATGTCTATCAACTATGATACCTAGATATTTAACTGATTTTGCAGCTGGAATTGCACTGGACTGATCTATTTCTAAAGTATTAAAATTCGGTAGATTATTTTCATATGATGTAAATGGTAAATAGTGCGTTTTTTCAATATTTAGTGTGAGAAGGTTATGTTGGAACCACAATTGTATTTTCTTAAAATCCTTTTCAGTTTGACTTTTTAAATCATTCCAATTCAAGTCCTCGTAAAGAATGGCAGTATCATCCGCAAAACTCATAATTTTTCCTGTGGTATTGAGCTTTAATAAATTATTTATATATATCAGGAATAATAATGGACCCAATACTGTACCCTGAGGAACACCACAATCGCCAGCAAAAGAGAAAAATTAAAAGGGATATTGTGTCTAGTTCCTCAGACACAGAAGATGAGAAGGAAAATAATACCGTGTGTTTATACTGTTCTGAGGAATACCTTCAATCAGCTGGAGGGGAAGGTTGGATCAGATGCATGCAATGCCTGGGGTGGGCACACGACCAATGCGCAGGTGTCGAAGAAGATGAAGAAATGTTTATATGCGACTAGTGCTCCGAGTGTCCGCTAAGCAAAATTAAAAAGAGAATTATTTTATAATTTAGTGTGAGTTTATATAATCTCCTTTAGTAAATGTATTTTATTTGATGTTCACAAGTTAAGTTTTTGTGGGGATCATTTTACCCCTACCTCTGGAGAAAAATGATCCTTTTGACATTTTGTATTTTTTTGAAGTTATTAAATATCATGGAAAAATAACGTGCATTATTTTTGGTGGGCAAAGGATTAATCAATACACTAATAAAAAAAAGATTTAAAAAAATTATATCTGACGTTACAAAATATCAAAAAGTCTTAGGAGGATCATTTTGCCCCACTCTCCCCTACGTTGTCACTATTAGTGGCTGACGTTACAGAAATGTGCAATCTCTCTCTGTTTATACCACATTATGGATTGTAGAGGAAAGGAGGACAATCTTATATGGTTGTTTATATCAAAAAGTCCACCAAAATGTATAAAATTAAGATGGCGCTGTGTACTAGAAGGGAAATATTCAATGATATATAGTCATATAAATTGCTCATTCATAATATGTAAATCAGACGACGAAACGCGAGGCGCCACTAAAAAACATTAATTGTACGCAGGCAACCAGTAAAGCAGTTTTGCGAATGGCATTGTCAGGGGATGCGCAAAAGTTGTTAAAACAAGTCGTCGAACTCAAATAGAAAAATGAAGAAAAATTACTTTCCAGAACAAAGAAAAAAATTAATTTTGCCTTTAGTTTTCTTTATTAGTTTTTATTTCTAATATTGTACTTTTTGTTTGTAATATTTTTTAAATATTTTGAAAAACTCGCAATCCTAGCAAGTCTCTTACAATTTCTTCTTGCTAGGAGTAATCATTTTTCACATCAAATCTAAAAAGCAAGCCTTGATAGAAGGAGTATCTTGTGGATTAGAGAATCCAACAGGAGATCGTAAAATAATAACTCAAATTGGAAGCACCGATGGATTTTTGCTAGATTTAATGTTCGAGTCAAAGAAAACAAAAGACTACCATGAATAAATGGATGGCCCTATGTTTGAAAATTGGTTTCAGCTAACTCCGTTATTTTTTTGGATAATGCATCCTATCACTGTCGATTAAAGGAGTCGCTACCTACAAACAATACAACATTTGAATTACCTGATGTGCGAAATTTGTTTTTGAAGGCAGTTTCAGATGTAAATGGAGAAAATTGGAGAAAATGCATTGATCATGTTAAAAAGGTATAAAATTCATTTTGGAAAGTGGGTATAGCAATGGATAACTTAATAGACCCTATAATAATAAACCTCAAAGACAACGATAATGATACAAGTAGTTATAGTGAAGACAGTGACTTTTAAAGATAGTTCTTAAACTTTTTATTTTTGTTAATCTTTAATTTTAGGTACAGAAGTGTTACTTACTTTTAATGCCAAGAGATTTAAAAAAGTTTAATCCCATTAGCAACATATGTTATTTATTGGTTAAATTTAATTTATTCAATGTTAAAGTGCAACAATTTTGTCAGAAGCATAAGGTTTATTTTTATTTTTTGTAAATAATATAACTTTTTTCATTCAAAATGTAATCTACGAAGTGCGTATTATACTATTTTATATGCCTTGACCTTATTTATATTAAAGAAGCTTATTTTGCAAAGTACGCCCATGGAATGTGACGTTATATCCCCACTTTTATTGCACTCCTCTTTTATTCAGACTCTAAGAATACTACATAGTAAACAATGTGCAGGGCGGTATTTGGAAATTGAGATATTGAGTGTTGCAACCGTATTAGGTTTATATAAAAATTAATTTAAAATGAGAGAATTTGCTGAAGCTGGTGCACTAAATTAGATTTAAAAGAACGATAAATATTCTCTTTGATATCTTACATTCTAGAAATTTAATTCAATTTAGTTATAAAAAGCATTTGTAATTAAAAAAATTAACAAAGGTATAGCAATTTTCTTTAATAAACACGAATAGGTGGCATTTTAATTTTAAACACCGACTGACATTTACAGTTTTTACCAATATGCCAAATATCTCAAGATCAGATAGAGTTTTTCTTTGATTGTATTCGCTCACAACATTAACGCCCGGCATTTTCTGGGGGCTATGTTCAAACTCGACAGGAAGTGATTTTTCAAGGTTTTTATGAGAAATGTCATACGTTATCATAAAAACAGTATTTTTAAAGCCAATGAGAACTCACTGACTGTTTCTCATGGTTTATTTCACTGGCTTTAAAAATACTGTTTTTATGATAACGTATGACATTTCTCATAAAAATCTTGAGGGAAATGAGATCTCCTGTCAAAGTTTTCATGAAAATTGCATTCCTTTAGAACAGCTTCGAATTTATATTTTTTGGCGCACTTCGAATAAGGCTTAAAAACTTTAATATGTGATGGTTGAATTCAAGGTTTTAGACTATTCAAAACTTGTTATAAAAAATATATTTTTTTGATAAAACTAATAATAAAAAAGTTTTCCATATGTAGCCAACTTACGTAGACACCCTGTATATGTGATTTTTTTATTGTTAGTACTTATTACCGACTTGTAATTATGTGTATATTTATTTGTATATGTTTAATATTTACCTAACTAATAATAAAATATATTATTTATAAAATACTTTCTATTCCGACCTAAGAAAATTAAGGCAGGTGTACCTCAAGGTAGTGTACTAGGTCCAGTACTCTACTTGTTGATTTTTTCTCGAAAAATAACTGATTTATTTCAGCAAATAAATAATGAAAACAGATTAAAACAAGTAAAATGTGATTAAAATAATTACAATCAATTACTGAAAAATAGTGAACTACCTATAAAAATAGTAAAATAATAAGATCAAAAGTAAAACTACAAAGACTTATCCTATTATAATATACTATCTGTTTTTGGTAAAATAATGGATTGAATAAAGAATTACTTTTTTTCATAAAACTAAGAAAAAAGTTTCCCACATGGTTCCGACTTAATTGGACACACTGTAGATCCTAAATGGTATTGAAATGGTACCTTAATGGAGTGATATTATTCATTTTTTGTTTCCGTATGTAAATAAATTTATGGAACACCATGTATACTACACGGTATAAATAGTATTCGATGCAAGTGCATGTTTACATCCTTTAAGGAATGACATTTTAACACCCACAAAGTTTTTCACGGTGCTATTAGAAAACACACATGATTCACAATAACCATTCATTTAATTGCTGTCAATCACGTGACCTTTCGCGATTTAAAATCTATTCACAGATCAACTTAAACTAATGAGATAAATAAAATGTCTATACCTTCAAAACTTACTGGTAAACTAATTTTAATTCAACATGTAATTATTATTGTAATACAAAACCAGTTGTACATATTTACAGAAGTTTGTTTTAAACTATTGATAGTATGGGGAAGGTATTTTAGATGAAGAAGCAGGAAATGCTATAGAAACACACACAAAGCTGTAGAATTGCAAATATCATAGGATTTTGTGTACTTCCATTTTAATAATTGGCAAGTGTGCAAAATCTGACACAGTATCTGAGTTATGCTTAATTAAAGAACATATTTATGTTTAGACAAATATTTAACTAAAACTAGGAACTACATCCCATTTTGGTAAAAGCTTCCGATCATTAGAGGAGATTATTGAAAGAAATATATTATGAAAATGGCACTCACCTCTCTTTGCTCGTCTATTTACTATTTCCATTTTCTGATCCACACCAACCGTTGCGAAGTGATCCACAAACTCCCATCATCGTTTCTAAAAGTCTATAAAAAGTTCCATCAAAATATTGCACAGTTCATACGAATAGAAGATTGATGGCGTCTGGCTCTGAAATGTTTTTCTGTTCGATTCTGGCTTACAACTGAAAATCTTTTTCAGTTTATTCCTGGCTGGGCTATTTTTGAAAACTGACGCTAGTAGATGCGAATTTCGACCACCTTAGCAAACAGTCTATGTTTTAGACCGGTTCTAATAGCGTGTGAAAATTTTTAAAATCTACAGGGTATTTAAAATATACAATGGAAAATGTGGCATGAAAATTAGGTAGGATAACTGTAAATTAAAAGGATTCTGGCATAAAACAAACCTTTTTGGATGTATTTTAAAAAAGTGATGCCAAAATATGATTCCAAAATATATATCAGTGGTAAATGCATGAAAACTTATACTCACTATATTAATATTATTAAAAAGTGCTCAATTATAATTGAAAATGAAAAATCCGGTTAAGACAAAAAGTTGCCGCGTGACGTGTAGCGGAGAGCGGCAACGAACTTTTCGCTCAAAATGCACACAAGATTTTTCTACGATCACATTATTATAAAAAATAGAAGAAATAGATATAAAAACTGAAAATTTGTCATAAGTAGTGTATAATGTATTGCATATATCTACGTTATTCATGAAAAAAAGGAGTTGATATTCAAAGTCAATGTTAACTTGGATAATGAAAGAAAAAACATCACACTAGATACAAATAACGTCAAAATCATTTATTAAAAGACATATTATTTATATTATATTTAATTTAAATTAGGCGAGCGACAAAGCTGTCAAGTTTTCCGCTTGGCCAGCGACAAAGCTGTCACTTAATGTCAGTTCGCGGAAAACGTCAACTTTGCGGTTGAATTTCGAAACGAAAAAGCCTACTTTGGATAGTGATCGTAGAAAAATATTACTTTTTGTCGCTGCAGAAGCAAAAAATGCTACATAAAATAATTTCGCCTATACAGTTTGCTGCATAACTACAGAACAAGGCATCAAGGTAATTTTTGTAATTATTTTGTATCAGTTTAAACCTCTGCATAATTTGTTTATAGACGGTACAGGATTGTAAATATAAACCAACCAAATGGAGTAATTCTCCTCCTCCTCCTTCTTTTTTTTTTAATGTGTTTTTTAGAATGGAAGCAATTCTTAATTGTACATTTTTAGGAGACTTGGATGTTGACGACGACGATAAGGGAGAGTTGGGTAATGGTGCGCAGCGGGTAATCGTGCGCACCAAGATATTTCAAATTTCGTGGGTTATCCGGAGCGCTCGACCAGTGCTGCTCTCTCCTATGCGATAGCTCAATTCCTGGCGCGATCATTGGTGACGTCAGTTTGCATACCACCGCCGTGAGATAGACATCGATTTTTCAACGTATCTTTATAACTTATCGGCATCAGAAAATAAGGCGGTAAGTGCACAATGTTTTTTCAATCGTTTGTAATGAGATGTTTTTTTTATAATCAAGTATTTTTTGAATGCTTTGGCACATTTGAATGATAAGTATATAAATAGTTTTTTGTCGTATCATGGATTTATAAAACATAAACATAAAGGGGTAATCGTGCGCATAAATACGATTCCCCCTCATGTTATTAAATAGTAAGTAGTCATAGTAAGTTTATTTATTGTTTCCAGATGCCTAGAAGTTACACACGTAAGACTGCCATCCTGTTCTACACGGTCGAAAGCCTGCAAAATGCGCTGGATGCCATAAGAAACGATGGAAGAAAAATTAGGGAAGTGAGCAAATCTTTTAACATACCAGAATCTACCCTCAGAAAAAAAGCTGCTAGAAAATGATCTGACACCACCTCGATTGGGCCGCAAGACTGTATTCTCAAAAGAAATAGAGCGTGAGTTAAAAGAATATGTTTTGTTACTTTCAAAACTATTTTTTGGACTGACACCTGATGGGCTAAGAATGCTAGCATTTAGGTATGCAGAACAACATAATATTGTCCATAACTTTAATCGAGAAAAGGTAGTAGCTGGAAAGGCATGGCTTAATGGGTTCTTAAAAAGATTTCCTGATGTAAAACTAAGACAGCCTGAGGGTACTAGCTTAAATCGGATTACATCCTTTAATAAAGAATCTGTAAAATTATTTTATTCCAATCTTGAAATGCTCATGCAGAAGTTTAAATTTGAACCAAACAGAATATTCAACATGGACGAAACAGGTATTACAACTGTTCAAGCCAAATGTCCAAAGGTGTACGGTGCCAAGGGAGCAAAAAGTGGGCTCCGCTACATCCGGTGAAAGGAGAAGGACCATAACTGGCGTTTTCTGTATGAGTGCTTCAGGGAATTACATCCCGCATATGATTATTTATCCCCGCAAAAGAATGCAAACAACTCTTCAAAAAAACGGACCCTTAGGTGCTGTCTATAAATGTTCGAAAAATGATTGGATTAATTCTGAGTTGTTTTTTGAGTGGTTGTCTCATTTTGCAAAACATACAAAGCCCACTGCAATTGACCCCATCCTTTGGATTCTAGATAACCATTCAAGTCATATTTCGATTTCTGCTTATAATTTCTGTAGGGAAAATAATATTCATATGGTAATCCTTCCACTCCACACCTTAGACCATCTTCAGGCATTAGATTTAACATTTTTTAGTCCACTAAAGAACGCTCTTTATAGAGAATATGATCTTTACTTATCCTCTTCTGGTCATCAAAAAATAACAGAATATGACGTCGCTGAATTATTAAACAGGGCATTTATGAAAGTCGCCACAATGGAGAAAGCCGTTTTAGGATTTCGCACTTCAGGAATTTATCCATTAAATCCGGATAAATTTAATGAGGATGATTTTACACCTTCCAAGCATGTACCCAACGGCACTATAGAAGATTCTAACGAGGATGGTCCTACCTTACCCAGACCAAAGGCTAACGTTGCATTGTCTACTGACATTGGATCAGAAGCTAATGTTTCATTGCCTGATACTGGATCAAGTGCTTTAATTAATTGCGAAAATCCTCAGCCAAGTACATCTAAAGAGAACTCTTTTCTAACCATGACTCCTGTACCTACCACAAAGGTTACCAAACGAGTTAAAAGGAATAATCGAAAGAAACTATGTTTGAAAATACTTACAAGCACAGTTTCCTGGAAGAATTAGAAATAGCCCAAGAAAAGAAAAGATTAGGAGAAGAAACCCTAAAGAAGAAGGAGAAAAACACTCAAAAAGAAAACTGTAAGAAGATGTTTTGATGAAGAAACAGAAACACAAGAGAGAAAAAAAATTAAAGGCCAACAAAAAATGAAGAGAGGCAACACCTGAGACATCTGATGACTCATTGGAGGAGGATTTGTCTGACATATGCGACGATAACGACGAGTTAGACGATATTGACTTAAGCTACATACCATCTTCTCCAGTAACACCCTCCAAACCTAACGAGATATGTTTGATATGCGGAGAAATTGGCAAGAATGGGAAATTATGGTACCGCTGGGTGTTATGCTCTTCTTGGAACCATGCAGACTGTATAGGTGTAGACACTCCTGAAAATTACAAATGTGACTTCTGCTTACATTAAACTTAATATTTTGTAACTAGTTTTGACGTTAATTTGAAGAACAAATATTTTTTTTATGACAAAGATTTATTACGCACGATTACCTAACCCGTGCGCATCATTGCCCGCCGGGGTCGGTAATTGTGCGCAAATGCAACTTTTCACTTTTATAAATGTCACTCTTTTGTAGTAATATTTTCTTCAAATATTATTTCCCATATATGTATACATTAGAATAAGTGAGGCACCTCATACCGTTTTTTAAATTAAATTGTCTATCATAGTCTCACCACAAATAAAATTTCCACTTGAGTGCGCACCATTTCCCAACTCTCCCCTATATATTTTTCTATAAACTCCTCTCAATAAACGTAAATTGAGATTTTTGATGAACTGAAATCTCTTTTTCTGTTTAATGCTTTTTTCCAATCTATTTTACATGGAGGAAATATTAATTATATCAGTCAATACAGAAAATAACATTTAGGATTTATAATTTATTCTTTTCCATTAAAAGGTTAAATGTTTGCATTACGTGCATACGTCAGGTAAACGTAAACATGAATAATAATTTCAATGCTCATGCATATGCGTGGCTGTCAACGTTTTGTGCAACTATAATAAGTACTATTCTCACTGTGATATTTTTAATTGTACGGTATTATCTGTTAAGAGGATGCTCGAATTTTAAAATTTTAGGTTGTTTCTTGTCTTGTATGGTGTTTTTTAGACGTTAAATGTTTTTTAAAATTTCTGAAGAGTTTTGATATTTATATATTCGGTTTTTTTTTATATGTATATACTTATACTTTAATTGTTGTTTTAGCTTTAAGACTGTGCCATTTGGAATTCATATTTCTGTAGTGTACTTAAGACAATAAATAAATAAATAAATGTTCATAGCATCACTTCGACTCTCTACTACTTTCTTTACGTTGACGAACTGTATGATACATCTAAATTACATAGTTATGATACTGAGCCAACGAAATCTTGTCAAGCTCGCGCATGATGTATTGTGGAACAAATTATGGCCATGAGCACATTAAAATTTATTTTTGCGCGCTGTTTTCGATCAGCTAATACCTCAAATTCGTAAGCCACGCCATCCCTCCGTAATATTTCACCGTGACGTAGTATTAATTGGCGGAATATCATACCTTCTTTTTGTAGTATCATGGACTGTATGCAATCTCTGATAGGCGATAGGCCCTTTCGGTTCAAGACATAACCGGCCCACCGGGTAAATGTCCGGTTGCCCGGTGGCCGTATCCGCCACTGCAGTAGTCATGGCACGAAAATATTTTCGCGTTTAAATCATTTTTTAGTTACACGCTTACTTTAATTTCGTAAAATATAAGTACCTACACAATGTAATGTCGTTAAATGCAGCTGTCAAAATAAATTATATCAATGTTATTATTGTGTTTCAAAGCATACTTAGGACGTAAAATTTCTCGCCAACAGTAATATGGAACTCATATGAAACTGGACTACTAAAATGTATTTTTTTTTCTAACTCAGCTTTGCGAAATTATTGTTATGGTAAATCATCTCAAGGATTGAGAGAGAAAAGTTTAATTTTTATTTTGTGTTACGTAAACTGCAAACTCTTGAATGGAGTAAAAATACGTAACAGTTATTGTATTTATTTTATTGATTTAAAAATATCCTAGTGGCGGCAACAGCGTTTCTGAAAATACCTATTTTTTTAGATGGTATGGGTTCGGTGTTGTTTATGACTTCCCTGGTAGTTTTGGTAGTATAGTTCGGGTCAAAGATAAATGTTCTATTTTCACAATTTCGACAGTTTTGTAAGAAATTAAGATGAATGTGGAACGTATTAGTTTGACTTTAATTTCTAAAAGGATTATTGCATGCAAGCGTTTTTACAACTTCAAGGTTACATCCCGAAAGAAGGAAAACAGGAAGAATACATTTAATAATATAAAAATGTAATCAAAAGGAAAAATGAAGTCTTATCAGATAAAGTATCGTCTTCACTGGACATGTCATTCAGGTATTTTCAATTTTCTTACATGGAGAACGCAATTGGTACGGTGGTAAACGTATGACCGAATACCGTAGACTTATTAATAATATAGCTAGGTTGAAATTTTTAAAAATAAAAAATAAAAACAAAAACCATACAAATATGTAGAACAAACAAAACTTAGAAGCGCGCTAGCACGCTTTAAACTAAGAACATTCTGGGTAAAAACGTCAAGTTATCAGATATATCAACAAAAAGTCATCAAAAAATCTAGCCTCTACGCGGAGTTTGTTAGTTTACTGAAGTATAAGAACCACTAGTTTGGCATAATGCTTCCGAATTTAAGTGTCATTATTTATAATCTAAAGGTTACTTAACTATTTTTCTTTTAAGAAATTGTGTGTATAAACGGTCATTAATATGGCAAGCAAATATCTTTTAAAGCCGTGACTGGATATGATACATCCGTTTTATTTAAAAACGCCGACTCTTTACGAGCTTTTGGTATTTCACTAATTTGAAGAGAATAATAAGGGGTATTATCCATCACTATTACAGCATTTGGTAATACTTTAGGAGTCAATTATTCGCCAAACTCTTTCTCACGTAGACATCAAATCTTGGTGATAATGATCTAAACAATTCAAAACAACCAATTCAGTACAAAACCGTTTCCTTTATTTAAAGGAACATTTAGCAGACATTTATTGGCAGCTCAGTTCTTTTTTGGAAAAACGCTCCGACCCGTCGATTTTGTTTTCGAGGGGGACACAAAATTGTCAAAAAATCACGTTAATACGTGCAGCCCCCTAGGCGGGGGTGGCACCATCCCTAAAATCTTAAATGGAAAGGGGGTCGAACAATTAATCATTTGAAAGATCTTTCAATTCCCTTTATAATGATATAAAATTCATGTACTTCAGTTCAGTAGTTTTAAAGATTTATTGATTTAAAACTTAAAGTAGACTTTAATAGGTATATCAAATTAGTTTGTACTACTTTCAGAAGAAATTTGAGTAAAAGCATTACTAAATAAGTAAATTCTTTTCTTCACTACGTTCATGGTTTGTTATCATTTTGGTGTTGAAAATAGCGATTGGAGCGTTTTTTGTGGCAAAAAAGTTGTTTCTTGAAGAAAGATAAGAAGTGAATGCCTCGTACTTATTTTAAATAGGAATTTAGTACATAGTTTGCGATTGATTCGTCCAAACTTTGTTGTTAAAATACCTTTATACATAAATTAACCATGGTATATTCCACGGCAAAAAGGGTTGAAATTATCGAAATATTTTTCGGAAATAATCAGTGCGCTAATAGAACAACACAAATATTTAATGAGCGACATGAGAACAGTAACGTGCATCGAAAATATGTTCTAGAACATGTAGCTAAATTTCGGGAAACTGGATCAGTCGCCAATAAAAAACGCAACATTGGTATTTTTGGCGATAATTTAGTTGGTCCTTTTTTCTTACCTGGAAATTTGACCGGTGAAATGTATTTGGAATTACTGCAAGAAACCATAGATCCTGCACTAACGGCCATAATTGAAAATCAGAATGATCAGCGGTACATTGAGAAGAGGTTGATGTTCCAACAGGATGGTGCCCCACCACATTACGCAACATTTATATTAGACGTTTCCAGATCGATGGATTGGTAAAAGAGGTTCCATTGAATGGCCCCCAAGATTGCCAGATTTATCACCTAGCGGATGTCTGGATTCGAATCGCGGCGACGACAGGTTTTTTTTTTAACTCTTCAAGTATTTGGTTTCACCTTTGGAGTTTGGGGATGGCCTTAATAATTGATAGGGAGACTTTTGAGATTTATTTTCGAATTTTGAAAATTATTCTAAAAATTAATTGCAAACGATTGGGATAATTTGAGTTACCCATATCTGATTTATCATAATTACCAATGTTGTAAAAATAGGTTTTGAAAATAGTATTCTGAATTCTTTAAATTTGAATATTTTTATTTATAATCAATTAATAAATTAATTTTGATACATTGTAAATCAACTTCTAACATACCTACTGGCACATTAGAGAGCAATACGGAAAGTATGTGGATATACAGGGTGTAACTAAATAGGTGTAAAACATTTAAGGGAGTGATTCCTCATCGAAAAAAAGATAGGATCTTCTATATAAAGAAACTTAATTGGAGCATCCCTTGTTAAGATACATTTTATACTACCAAAAAGACACTTAGCCAGTAATTTATTTGGTTTACCCCATGGTTGTAAGGGGTTTATGACGATGTATCTCTGTAGTTGTTCGTAAAATAATTTTTTTGCTGCGAACTGGTTTATTGTGGGCAAAAAATTTAAGAGACATTTTTTGTTTAGAATAAAACAGGCTATCGGAAATAAAATTTTAAATGGTAAACAAATAATAAGACAAAAAGTTACGTTAGAACGAAATTTTAGGGGTTGCCTTTTCCACCCCTTACAACCATGGGGTAAACCAAATAAATTACTAGCTAAGTGTCTTTTTGGTAGTAGAAAATGTCAGGTTAATTTCAATATTGTAACTTGTTTAGTGCTTGTGAAAAAAATTGTTAAACAAATTTTATGTACCCCCTTTAAGAGGCTGTATCTTAACAAGGGATGCTCCAATGAAGTTTCTTTATATGAAAGATCCTATCTTTTTTTCGATGAGGAATCACCCCCTTAAATGTTTTACACTTATTTAGTTACATCCTGTATAAGGATGTATGAGGATTTCGGAGAAAGTATAAAAAATATACGAGGATTTCCAAGGATGTTTGAAGAATTTATTAGGAGTTATATGAATTTATAAGGATGTCTGAGGATGTATAAAGGATTTATGTGGATTTTTAAGAATGTATAAAGGATTTACGAGAATTTCTGAGGCTGTACAAGGATTTACAAGAAATTATGACATTTAAACCAAAAGGATATAGGTTTACAAAATTTAGGTCAATGGTTCATCCCTCGCATTTATCCTTTCCGCTACATCGTAATAAAATCCATTATTTTCAAATTTTAATTGGTGGTACATTTAATAACTTTTTGTGTAGATGACATTCACATACCAAATTTTTGGTAATCAATCTCCTTTTTTTCCTTCTCTTCCTCCTTCACTTTTAATTGCTTTTCACTCTCGGAAGAAAATTATGATTGTTTATTTTTTATTATTTTTATTTATATAGTAAACATTGAAACACTTAAAAATATTTGCAAAACAAGGGCAATATTTATTCGAATAAAATTTAAATTTAAGTAACATATTTAGTTAGTTGTTTACGTTTCTATAACATTCAAAATTTGGTTTATTTTTTAATTTTTATTATTTTTGCTTTGTGTTTTCATAGTATTGTGATCACACACACCAAAGGTCGATTTTAAACATTTAACAACACTTAAAAATATTTTCAAAACACGAACAATAATTATTCGAATAAAATTTAAATTAGCATTTTTAGTTAGTTGTTTACGTTTCTATAACATTCAAAATTTTTATATATCTCATCGTTTCTCTGATAAAGATTTTCGTAAAGTTCGGAATATCTAATTTCCTTTAAGCCGCCATATTCGATTGGAAGTACTTGTTTGTCTACATATTCGTAGAAAGAGTCCATATCGTCAAAATGGAATTTTATCTGAAATCAAAATATAAATTAATTAATAATTATTTCATAATTTCAATGACATTAGCTTACCACATTTTTAAATCTTTGAGGCATAAAGGGCCACAGCAGCTTAATACCCAGACTTATCCACCAAACATTATTGACTACATGAACTCGATAATCTTTGAACGGTAAGCTGTCCAGTTTTTTTACACTTTGTCTGATATTGTGCGGATGCAACCATTTACTGAGCTTCCAGCTTTGATCTTTTATATCCAAAATGACGCATAAACCTTTCGCGGCAGATTCTGGTTGCTTACTCAAGATCGATTCTAGCCAAATATCGTCAACAGCTACTATGTCTAAGAAGTTCATTTTGCTTGCATCTATATTACCTAAAATAGTTTTGAAAAATGTTAATAGTACTTGCTGACACTTGTTTTATTGTTCAAAATTATTCTAGTCAAAAACACATTTTTCTTTTCCTCCTTTTTGTTTCTTATCCTCCTTTTTCTTCTTTTCCTTTGTATTTCCCTTGTTCTTCGTATACATCTTTGTATACCGGCATATTATTTATGTTGGATTGTATTCCGCTAGTTTTTTGTTAGTCTTTTTAATCTTTTGTTGGTCTTTTCTGGCTTTTTATTTTTTAACAAAGTTAATAGTAGTTTGTTTGTTTCTATCATTCTGTCTAGCCACTTTTTCTAAGTTTCCTCTTCTGACTTCGTGACGCTACTGTTTACTCTACCTCAAATTATTTTTTCTAGTTGTTCTTTCGATAACTTTTCTAAATGCCCTATTGTAAAACATTTCTTAGCAATAAAAATATGCATAGATGCGATTTTGTTCACAGCGCCATTTTGCTACTACCATAAGCTTCGCCCTCTATATAATAATGTTTCCATATAAATATAAACTTATTACCTACCATTTTTTATCAAATAAATAGGACGGCCTTCTTTATCACAGTCTGGCAACACAGCTCGAACGTCCTTATCAATAATATATTTTAATTTCAATGGTCCGTCTCTTCTGTACCACTCCTGACATTGTAATACGTGGTCTCGACATGCCTTTATCTAAAAATTTACCCTTAGATAAACAAAAGAAATAGATAGTACATAAGAGTAACTTTACACACTTGTTGCATAAATAGTTTATTCAATTGTATTATATATATTGTAATTATTTCAGAAATTATTTATGGAGCTTCCAAATTTTATATTTCAAAGAAGCTGACCGAGAAAAAAAAAGAAAATTCTTAAGATATATACCTCAAGAATTTTTTGCTTTCGAACTCTGGTTTAACGCCATAATTTTAACGATGCACTTTATACAAAGATAATAAATAGAAGCAAAAACGTATCATTGTTAGCTTTGCTCAATAAAGGTTTCTTACAAAAAAAAGTTCTCTGGTTTCAAATCTAGGATTAGAGATTAAGTCTATTTTATTTTATATATTAGTTATTTTATCTTAATAATCTATAATAATTATTAAAATTTGTAGATTTTAGTTAGTAAGTCATAGAAAAAATATACTCGAGTGGATTGTCTATGGCCATCATGTTACATAAACTAGTATGAATAGTTTCTGGAGCAGTGTCGGTGGAATAACTTAAATTTTGTGATCTCAGAAGTTATTACATCGATAAATTTGCCAGGCATTCTTCATCTAAAAAGATTACGATATCCATTAAAACTTTGTCAATCTAAGTGCAAAGTATGTTATAATTAAGTATTGTGAATTATCTTTTGGGAAACTTGTTTAAAAGATAAATCTCTTCTAGATTATGTCTTTCAATAAACTTAGTAGGATGAAAAAGAATTACAAAATCTTTATAATTTAATCGACTAAATTCTTTTTTAATCTTATAAACGAAAAAACAGTCTTTCGTATTTTGTATAAAATTATTTTAACTAAATTTAGCTTAGCAGTAATCGAACTAATAAAATTAGTATTATGGGCTTTTAATGGTTGTACTTTTAATTTAATTAAGTAATAAAAACTGAAAAATATACATATATAGATTTAATAGTAGTTTGTGCAACAAGAGTTGATATGATGGCCATACCGTACTAAGACGAGGTTTGAGCTCGACGCCAACGCCTAGAATTGAAACCTAGACCTGTGCGTGAAAGCCAAATGACCAGTCACTGCTCTATCGCCACATATAATATTATAGTTTTAAATTTATTTTTTATAGTTTTATTAAAATATTTGATTTATTTTTAAATATAGACGAAATAATAATAGAATAACTCATTTTAATGAATATTTAATCTTAATAATTAAAAAATATACTGACAATTAGTTTTACAGAATTGTCACTCATTAAAAATTTTAAAAAATAATAGTAGTCGGGTGATCAAAATATGAACTGTGGATTTAATTTTTTTGCCATGGATGAATGGATATGAAATATACGCAATGGCATACTTTTTCGTTTTGTAGTCTGTGCGTAGAATAGATAATATCCATGTGGGTGTAGAAAAAAAATATATAATTCGTTGTTTTGGAGTAATGGTACCCTCGATATATTTCTAATTGACTTAAACTAATAACTTGAGTTATTTCATAAAACATTATTTAAAACTTTTTTGTAAACCTATCTAAAAGTTACGGTATTTTTTGTACATACTGTGTCTCTAGACACCACTCGGTGACAACCAAAAGATTTTAACAAGTTGAGAAGCAGGTTCTACATGTCCCTGGAGGATACGCAATGTGCCTTATGATGCATAAGTGCTTTGGAGTAACCCACCCATCATCATAGTATATCGTTTAATATATACCACTAAATAAAATAAACATTTGGATGTTCGGTCGTTAAGAATACATTTTTAAAGAGTTAATTTTGAAAAACGATAAAGTATTGTTAAATCATTCTAATAGCTACCAGAAGTTCCTTGCTGGTGATTTCCAATAAATCAATCTTAGAAATGGCAACTCAGCTATTATAATATTAAGAACTATATTTTATCGATAACCAGAATTTTTTTTTTTAATATTTCTTAACGTCCGAACATCCAAATGTTTATTTTACTCAGGACTTCATATGGTGGGTATCTATTGGACGATGGCCATGACGATAGATTTGCATAGCCAAAAGCGCTCATCCCAATTTTAATAAATTTTATTGAACCGTGTATGAGAACCTCTTTTTATCCCAGTACAGTATTCGGAATTTCTTTACTGCAATTGAAGCCTGCTATTGTCGCCTTCTGAAATTTGTATCAAGAACACTTTGACCCTTGGAATATTCCGTATCTCCAACTAGTGTTACCCAAATTATTTCGAAGAAGCATCAAAGGATTGTGGAGCAAACCCCATTAACAAAACTGACTCCCGAGTGTTTTGATCTATGCCGAGAAAACCTTTTTCTTTCCGAATATGTCTTCTTATTTATTTTACTTTAATTTGTTTTTCTCTATTTACTGCTATTGGTTTACCTTTTTGAAGGCTTCATTTACATTAAAATTCGTCCCAAATAAATAGCGTTTCAGGTAATTTTCGTTAGGTGTTATATCTAATTCTGAAACAAAAAAATCTCTTTTTACCATATGAAGACGTCAGTCTTAGTCCTTCTTTAAACCACAGCTCCTATTCTGTAAATCCTAATAATTTCGTATTATAACGAGACCTTGATAAATAGTTGACTATTTAATGCCAAAATTATGTAGAATCAAATTGTAAAATGTTCGAAAAGTTTAGCAACAACAAAAATAGCAGAATATTAATCAAGGTCGTGTTATATTTGGGACGACTATTTCACTAGTCCAAATATTGACTATTTCTATAGAGAACTAGTCGCTGATATTTGGTCTAGGGAGATAGTCAATGAAATTTGAAAGTAGACATTTGAAAAATATCTTGATACATAGGGTAATTCAATAGTAAATGAGTCGATTCAAATATATATTTTTTACAAAGGTATATAACAATAGGTAATGTTGGCAATAAACAGATGTATATGTGTCAATTGTCAAAAGTTGCAGAAGGCGTATTAGAGAGTTGATATATTATAAATGTCCACAGACATAAATTTACAACAGTAAGTTTTTGGAAATACAATTTTGTATGAAAAAATATACAGGGTATTCCATTTATTAATAAAACAGATATTGACCAATAAAAATGGTTCTCGGAATTTTTTAGAAATTCGTATTTTCAAGGCGTTAACTTGGTAAATACATTTTGCTTTTTGGTATTTATTTAAGTCATCTAGTGGTCCTCCTACGATTCTCTTTTTGGTATTTAGTTACGCCATCTAGTGGTCCTCCCACGATTCTCTAACTAATTTCCATGTTTTTCTCGCGGCCACTTTTCTATCCAGGAATTAAGAAACTTTTTGAGTCATAAGTCAAGACGTCTTGTTCATCTAAAATGGTCAACTCATAATCTTCGCTCGATTTGCACATACTCGACTAGTTCCTTGGTTTACGGCAATCTTCTAAGCTTAACAATTAAGTTCGTCTGGTAAGATATTTTAATTTCCGGCAGTGCGACATACGATAGCAACATGTGACACTAATGTGTACCGGCAAGTTATTTTAGAAGTAGTCAAATTAATTTGTTTAATCTATCGACTTGCGACGGCGACATCTCAGTATGTCGCCGCGACATATCGAGAAATATAAAATGTTTTTTAAGCTTTGGTTTCTTTGAACACTTTGTCGCGGTGAGCAGACAGTCCGTTGACCGCTGAGGACAGCGATTTTCGCCCGAGGTGGTTTGTTAAATATAGAAAATGACATCTCTATATCTGTACGTGCGTTTATGTATTATGAATGTAAACGAAAGGTACTAAAATGGACGCAAATAAATTGTTTGCGTTGTTATTATTGTTGGAAGAACAAGAGGAACTGGGGAATTGCAACCGTCAAAGTTTCCAATAAGCCAGTGGATAAGTTGTTTTTGTGTCACGATACAGAGAAGGTGCCTTTAATACCACTGTGCATCGGAGGCATTTTGGAAATGAAACCAAAAGGGAGTATTTTAGACTTTCTACAGATCTTTTTAAATTCGTGTTGAGTTTTATAAAGAACTACATTTCCAAGAAACTTACAAATAAAGTAATAAAGTAATCTGCGTATATGTGAATTTGTCACTCATTGTTTTAAAAATAATAACAATATAATTATTTGTATTCACAAACGATCTCCGCACACGCCAACGATTCCGCTAATATTAAACTCGACAGATATGAACCGACTAGTCGCGACAAATCAGCGGTATGACGCCGCGCCGTCCAGGGGGGCTATTTTCAAACTCGAGAGAATTTATTTCTCTCAAGAGAAATGTCATACGTCAACGTAAAACCGTATTTTTAGGGCTGTTAGGGCCAGTGTGAACTCACTGACTGTTTCTCTCGGTTTATTTAGAGAGAATTAAAATCTTCCTAAGAATTTTAATCCTCGATGCCTTTAAAAACATCATTTCCACATTGACGTATGACATTTCTGATGAGAATCTTGAGAAAAATGAGTACTCCCATACTTTGAAAATAGCCCCCCTGCTCAGCTAAGCATATTCAAGAAAACCATTCCTATTTAAATACTCTGGTTGGATAAAATCGTCAAAACGCGACGGTCGACGGACTGTCCGCTCACCGCGACGGAGTGGTCAAAGAAACCAAGGCTTTAGAACGGCATCGCAGATCGCAGTCATAGCGGTCATTTTGACAACTTTACTGCTCCTAGTTTTGCTACACTGAAGTGTCTCATAGTAAAAACACATTTGTCGCAAACTGGCAATCCGCGTTGCCACAGTTCATCGACGTCGCTATGTCATAAAGTAAAACATGTTACCTTAACATAATGAAGACACCTCGTAAAAAAATTACCATAACTTTGCCCACTCGTTCTTTTCCTCATTATAAAATAGTGTTTGGAAATTATAAATTCACCTAAATAATCTGATCTAGTAATTAAAAAATTACTTTTAATGCAAACATACATGTCTCTTGTTACCCTTAAGATGTCAAGGATACTACATTTTATAATGGATAATAATAAAACATATGTACACTTGTTAATATGATAGACATATCTTATTTGTTGGACAAGGCTAATCATTACAAAAAAAAAAGAATAGAAAAGTTCATATTTGTTTATCAAAAATAATTAATATGATAGACATATCTTATTTGTTGGACAAGGCTAATCATTACAAAAAAAAAGAATAAAAAAGTTCATATTTGTTTATTAAAAATAATTCTGAAATCCAGTTTTTATAAATATCCTTTATTCTACAGGGTGTACCAATGATAAGTTACTCAGAAATAAAGCTTTTAAAAATTAAAAAAATTTGTCCAGAAGTCGAACCCTCTGAAACCCAGCAATAACCTCCTTTTTTAAAATATCAAGTATGGTCATGTAACATTTGAAAAAAAAAATTATGAAAAATTCAATATCATGACTATTAATTGCGTTACTTTCGATTTTAGCGCCTTCTAGCGGAATAAAAAACTGTTACATATTGTAAAGTGCGACATTTCATTTGAAAGCTTATTTTAATAGTGATTTAATGCGTAGCAAAAAATTGGTTTATTTTAGTTGATTGCAATCAAAGTTTGTATTTACTAACATTAGAAATCTGCAAGGTATTTCAATTATTTAAGTTCATGTTTCATTAAATTATGTTTTGGTATATTGTGCATTTAATTAAATCAAATTAGCTGTCAAATAAAGTGTACTTTATATTACGTAACAGTTTTTATCTCGTTGGTGGGCGCTAAAATCAAAAGTAACGCAATGCATAATCATATTGGTGAATTATCAATAAAATAATTACCTTTCAAATGATGTGTTACTGAACCATACTTGCTATTTAAAAAATAGGGGTTGCTACCGAGCTCCAAGAGTTAGATTTCTAAATATGAATTTGATATGAACATTCCTCCACTTGCCAATAAAAGTGGATGTGTTTTTGTTAAGTTTGAAAAACTGCTTTACTTCTGAGTTTTTGTGGGTCAAGTTATCGTTGGTATATCCTGTTCATAATTAAACTTGTAAACATCTTTAGATTATTACATTTCAAATTATTACTTCAAACATTATAATATTAAATATGCAGTTCCACAGGGCTCAATTTTGGATCCGTTTATTTATTTTGTACACTAATAATTGAAGAATGTAACTTCTAAAGGGCCTGAGTGCCAAAATTTTAAAAATATCTATTTTGGAATAAAAAAGTATAGTATACCAACCCTAACGATATCCAAGTGGTTATTAGTGCATTTTCAAAGAAAACCATTTATTGTAGTGGGATAAGCATGTCGAATCTATATGTTTATTTTTATTTTACTCATAACTTTTTTTAATGCTTTTGGCACTTGGACCTTTTTCAAGTTATGGTCTTCAACTCGAAAAACTTTGTTTCCTCTTAAATCAGTATTACTTATAAATGACATTGCATAGTAGTGTTTTGTACACAATCTAAATCTGAATAACGATTAAGTGTAAAAAATGAAGCTCTCATCAACCACTGATCGCTCTCACACTTTCATGTTATAAAAAAATATAGTACATCTTTTTACAAATGTTTAAAAAATCTGACGGACTAGAATTATCGCATTTTCTAATTACTATTTTTTAGGTACCTTTGTCCTATTTTTATCTTGTAGGTATGTATTTTAAAAGAACGTTTTTTATATTGGGTTTATTTTCTATAGAATGACTTGCTACAACAATATAAAAATAAAATTGTTTGGTTTGTGTGTCAATCAGATTTTATTTAATTTAACTAAGGAAATGTAATTATGATGAGAGCAATGATTAGGATGTTTTAAAAAAGATTATACAACTCGAATTTGAGGTAAATGTGATTTTAATTGATTTTTTGAATGACCTGTTGATATATAATCTTGGCGAGGTAATGGTTTCCTGGTTCCTGATTAAATGTTTGGGCATCTATCAGATAAGTATATTTTTGTTTCTATTTTATGCTGGAAAAAAACAGTTAAAATAAAAACAAATTCGCTTACATTTTTAACAGTTTTAGGCTTTAAAGACTGTTAAATTGAGACACAATAGAAATTAATATTATTTTTAGGTACATTTTAAAGAAAAATAAAATAAGTAAACTTTAGATGGCCCATATAAAATTTTATTTTGAAAATTTCCTGCATTATATTGGACAATATTTACAATTATAGTCAAAGACAATTATACATAAAAGCGAAGTAGAGCTGTTAATAATTTTGAACGTCAATTTTATTAAAAATATCATGACTTTACCTCAAACTCTTGACGGATAAGCACTTATCTCCAAGTTGAAAGATTTGTTTCAGAAATAAAAGTAATTTGTTTGAAAAAAGGTTTATTGAAGTAGAAGAGCTGATAAAATAACAAAATATTGGGCCATCACCCTAATACGTTTGTAGCGTGGCAGCACTGCAGCTTGCGTCTTATTGTGCCACCATTTAAAAGTCTTACTACTTTTCCATTCACTCATGCATTCCACGTCGTCGTTTGTTATAAACGCTAGTCGACTAATTCCTATGATGAAACGTCCTTGAGTCAAAAATCCACGACGTGACCTGAGAAATTACTGTTTAACTGTTGCGAGAAAGTGGATGCACACTTATCTCCCGGCAAAAAAGGTCCTTACAAACGCAAGAAGCGATAAATAATAGGCTCTTTATCTATGTATATTTTAAATTCGAAGTTTCAGAGCTTTTTGAATTATGTATACGTCTGAGTAAAGAATATAACAAATTTTTAACTCTTTTTCTAACCACGTAAAAGATTATTTTCATTATTAAAAAGTAGAACTTTAGAAGAAAAAATTATGAAACGTATTACTAAGTCATATCTCCCCCAGCGAAAAAAGGCAACTAAATTATTATATTGAAATCCATATCTCTTTAAGTTTATTTATTATTCTATGAACTTCTTTAGCCAACCCTCTATTTAGTTGAAAAAGTATCAAAATAGGTACAGAAATAATAAAAATATACAATAAGTATACTCAATCTCTTGACTGCTCCTCTACTAATATTAAAGCTGAACTCTCACAAGCACTAACACTACATGGATTTCTTTAACTTTAACTTGGTATATCTTATATCTTAATATCTTACAATATGTTTCTTGTTTTGCATGTTTAATACTGCTTTTATATAAGTTTTTATAAAACTGGGTACCAATAACAGTGACTGGAATTTCTGTAATGATTTAGGATTTAGTTTTAGTTAGGGCGCCGCTTCATTTGGAAGTGATTAGAAATAAAGAGCACGATGTGGAGACCATGGATAAGTGATGTTTTATTTTAAAATAAAATAATACGGGAGAAACACTCTGAGGGACTTTTATTAATGATGTTATCCAGGAAGAGTAGTGTTCAATTCTTTACTTTCTTCACTGGAACAGGTGTAGGCTGATTGGATACACGCACATAGAAATAATAAGTTCTACCTTGGAACTATAAAATGAATATGTTATTCAACATATCAAGAACATTAATAAGGAGTACAAGGCTGTATGTTTATTTACTTGTATCAAATGGCAATAATGAGGTAAATGGCAAACATTCTGAAACGAACTATACGATTTTTACAAAGTAATCCTCTGAAAGGATTTGAAAAAGATCAAAACTCCCATAAAATAAAATTTATTTAAAAATATATAATAAAAATATCACATGTATACCAATTAAAATAAATATTTTTTATTTTTTTACGTTTCTATAACAACTGAAACTTTTAAATATTTCGTCGTTACTTTTATAAAGATCGTCATAGATTTCGGCATATTTGATTTCTTTTAAACCGCCATATTCTATTGGCAGTACTTTCTTGTCTATATATTCATAGAAGGAATTCATATCATCAAAGTGGAATGTTATCTGAAATCAAAAGATAGTAATTTAGTAAACTAAACTAAAAATAGTGGCTTTTTTTAATGTATAAGAACTACAAATTTTAAAAATGATAATCTTAAATTATGGGCAATAATGATTTAGTTAATATGTGTCCCAGCTGGTTGTTCAATCTTATCGAAATTCTATACAATACGTTAACTTTCCAATACTGACTCCAGGAATATAGAATTAAAAAACGCTAATAAATAGACAGAAATACATCGTCGACTGCGTCCCGCAATATCCCCTCCTTGCTATCGAAAAGAAGTAATTAAACCAACTCTCTTTATGCCCCTCGCGTCCATATACCTACAGTGTGTCTACTTAAGTTGGAACCACATGGAAAACTTTTTTATTACTGGTTTTGTGAAAAAATGTATTCTTGATAAAAAGTTCTGCACGGTTTAAAACTTAAAATGCAACCATCAGATATCAATTTTTTTAAGTCGTATACAAGGTAAAAGTACCTTTATTTTTTATCAGACAGACAGTTCAGTCAGTTTACTATAAGTAAAAAAACACATCTTTAAAAAATGAACACATTTAGTACCAATATCAGTTTAATAATAATGACACAAAACAGCACGCAAAACGAAGCCCATAATCTAAACATCTGAACTAATATGCACAGAGACTGGATTATATTGTGAAAAATCTGATGTGTCCAACACATGACTTTCCTATCTAGTTATTACGTAGAAAACAAAAATTATAGAGATCGATATCGCAAACATATTTTAGTTTAACAATTTTCTTAAAAATCAGAATTTTTTACATTTTAAAAAATTTCTCGAATATGGACCATTTTAGGAAAATTGTGTATGGAACAAAAATTATAGAGAATAATATTAGAAGTAACTCTTATTTAAAGAATTACAAAATTACCACTAAGAAATAATTAAAATTATGTTTGAACCTGAAAACAATTTAATGAAAATTTGACAAATTATGTCCACGGCTGGATTTGAACCCACCTATTCGTGTTCTACGCACATTGTTTTAATTATTCAGCCATCTGGACATAAGTCTGAGATATCCAAATCTTATATTCAAATAATAATAATATCCGTCCCTTTCCCCGCACAAGCTCAGCTTTTGGGGTTAAAATTCACTCGTAAGGGGGTGAATTAGGGAGAGTATTATTATTATTATTATTATTATTATTAAATCAACAATTTGAAATATGGATAATTTATCATTCCAAATAAAACTTTTATTTAGTTTAGGTAAGTACAGTATTAAACATTATTTTCCCAAAAAATTCGAATGGTATATGACCCATTGATTCGTGAAAACGGCTATCTGAGATTAACAGTAGTTCTTTTGTCTCGTTTTGTAAGGTTAGAGGTTAAAATGCAATTATGGTGTTGTTTATTTTTTGCGAAAATGGTTGTATGCGTAGTTAAAATTTAATAAGCTGTTTCCTACGGTAAGTTATTGGGTATAGTTCCTAACTAAAATACCGAGATTAAAATTGCAAACAGATTCTGTAACTTGGGTCGATAACCTGATATGGCATATATTTTGTAGATGACCTATGCCACCTTCACTGGCTTATTCCTAATTTAACATAAATTTTCAAAATTTAAGTATACTTTCATTTATTGATAATTTTGTCAATTTTAGGAGAGTATAAATATATCTACATTGTTATATCTAGGATTGCTACCTACTATAATAACTATATAAATTACAACCTGTATAAAATAAGATATTAAACATATTATCTAACTCACCATGTCTTTAATACGTTGAGGCATAAGAGGCCATATCAGTTTAATAGCAATACTGATCCACCAAGAATTGTTAACAACATGAACTTTATATTCTTTAAAGGGTAGATTGTCTACTTTTTTTAAGCTGTTTCTGATATTCTGCGGTTGTATCCACCTGCTCAGTTTCCAGCTTTGGTCTTTGATGTCCATAATGACGCACAAACCTTTCGCCGCAGCTTCGGGATGTTTATTTAAAATATATTCTAACCAGATGTCGTCCACGGCTACAACGTCCAACATGCTCGTAGTACTTGGTTCAATATTGCCTAAAATAATTTTTGAAGATATTACTATGTAATGCATAGTAGTTAATTAGAATAAGAAAGAAATGTTACTCTTAATTTAAAAACTTTTTAGTATTTTTGTTGATATTAATTACAGTACAACCTCTGCGATTACTACTCCGTCTACGAATGGTTATTCTTTTGAGGAAGTTCTGAAAGATATTTTCGCACAACTGAGGCTCTATTTGGCCAATAACAGCCCGAATATTATCTTTGAGGGTTGGAAAAAAAAATTTGCTGAGTTAAATCGCACGATCTAGGGGTCAATTTATGTTCGAGTTTTGAGAAATACCGCGCTCAGGAAATTTCTCGCGCATTTCCTGCTGGAAATAAAAATTGTTTATGTCCATATTGTCCAATATAGGCCAAAGAAAGTCAGTTAGTATTTGTGGGTAGTCATCTACATTGACTGTAATCTTACACTTCGTTATCGAAAAATTTTGCTTCTGTCCAAATAAATACATATTAAAAATAAAGATTTAACTTTTGAAAAACCTTGTATAAAAACTTTGTTTTTTTATATATATAGCATGAATGAATAAGTAATTGAAAAACCGAACAATAATTTTGATAATATCTAATTGTATCAATAGTACAACGGATATTAGACAAGGCTTTCCTCAAGGTCAATTTCTTAGTCACGATTATCATTAACATGTACGTGAAAGATATAAACAAATCATAATTTATATAGGTACTCGTTTTGGCACAAACTAACGTAAATTATTTGCTAAACAAAGTGTGCAAACTACTTAAATGTTTAAATGAATTAATTAACAATCAATCCTTAGTGATTTTTTAGTAGGAACATATCTATGTTTCAGGTATGCAGTGATTCATTTTTGAAGGTCATTCTATATAACTTGATACTGAAATTTGCAGTTAAAAAAGTTGCAGTCCTGTGAAGAGGACACCAAAACTTGGAACTGATAATACTAACAGATTTGTCACTTATTTAAAATTATAAAAATAATAGAAGTTGGTCGTCCAAAATATGAACTGTGATTGGTGGATTTCATGTTTTTGCAGTGTTCTCACTACCTAGTTTTGTAGTCTGTGCGTAGATAAGATAATATCCATATGGGTGTAGAAAAAATTCTTATCCTTTTTCCAACTGGGCTCATGTAACAATCCGACTTTCATTAATCCAAGTTTGCATGTGAAAAGAAAGCGACTATTACTATTAGATGTACATAACCTGGACTACCTTAATTCAGAAAACCATATTAATTGACAGAAAGAGAAGAAAACGTCGTCAAAATCTTACAAATTTGTCATAAAATATAAATTGGTTATTAATTAAAATACAAACTAAGTCAGATTTTAAAAAAATAGTTACTGTCGAATTAAAAGAAAAAAAATTATTATTTTTTTAACACTAGTTTTGATGTAGAATGATGTCTTAAAAGTAATTACATGCATTACCTGAAACACCCTATAGAAATAAACAATACCATTTACCATTTTTTAATAAATATATGGGTCGTCCTTCTTTATCACAGTCTGGTAACACGACTCGAATGTCTTTGTCGATGAAATTTTTGAATTTTAACGGACCATCTTTTGTATACCACTCTGGGTATTCCAACATATGATCGTGTATTATTTTTAACTAAAAATAATAATGCAATTATTAGTAAATTCGTCTGTAAGTAAATATTGCAAATAATAAACAAATATTGCTTTGTCGATCTGGAAAAGGCTTCTCGCTAAAGTGACAAGACAACAAATAAGAAAAACTTTAGAGACACCTCGGGTAGAAGAAAGTGTAATAGAGCCAATAAATGAATGTATGAAGCAAGTGCCAATTTACTAAAAACAAATAAAAAAAAATATTTCCCTAAGGAACGATACAAAGTGGCGCAGGTATTTGGTTAGTTTAATATTAATTTATTCTATAACCAATAAATGCAGCAATAATTTAAAAAATGTATACATTACATAATCATAAGTAAAAGTGTTTTTTCATATTAGATTTGCGTTCATGTTCATGTTAGTTAAATTTAAATATGAACAATGGCGCTAAAATCGTAAATGGTGAAGATTCTAGTTATTTCAGTATAAGGGTACCTATACATGGGAAAATGATTCAGCCAAAGATAATGTAAATTATTTAGAAATAACAATGGACCAATCAAAAAATTATAAAGAAGAAATTAACACTAGAATCTCAATACCAAATTAATTCTATATAAAAGAATATAGTGCACAATATGCCCTAAACTCCTAAACTATATGTAGAATGATAATTTAAATACCTATTCTATTTTACCTTTTTGAAAGCTTCGTCTACATTAAAATTCGCACCGTACAAAAATCGTTGTAGGTAATTTTCACTTGGAGTCGTGTCTAAATCTGAAAACAAACAAAAAATTCGTTAATAGACCATTGAGCAAGAACGTTAATGTAATTTATTGCTCCATATTTATTTCACGTTTATTTTAGACAAACGGAAACAGTATTAACAGTATCTGGTGAAAATTGAAGGTCGATAACTATTTTTTATTCTTGAGTTATAACTTCTTGAAAATTACATATACTTTTGGAATACGAGACTCTTGTTAAATTTATACTTTGTTATTGGTTGGTTGGTGGGTGGGGTTTTGCGGTTTTTCCTCACCATGGCATCATCAATCATATTTAAGTCTCGGCAAATAATAATAATATAAAACCATCCCTTCCCTTACACAAGTCGCTCAGTCGGCTTTAGGGGTTGAAATTCACTCGTAAGAGGGTGAATTAGGGAGAATATTATTATTATTATTATTATTATAAAATACTATCGTGAATTTACCCATTTCATTAATCTCCCTTATATCATATTTTAAGGAGTTATAACTCTAGGACACTTAAATAGTTATCTAGTATAGATTTTCAAGAAATCTTAAATGGTTTTCTTCTTTTGAGTTATACTCTCTTTTGTTTATAAAAAAAATTTAATAAAATTTTACTTAACTGGTTTTATAGGGAAAATTGCAGTTCAAGACGTTAAATATCCAGACAATCATTAGCAGATATAACTATTAAGGGCTTATTGAGGGTGAGCCAATTATTTCTGTTTAGAGCATAGACACTATGCCATTGGAGAAAAATTCAGAGGCGTCACTCGCAGAAACCAAATTTTGACTTGTTTATTTACCAACGCTTAGCAACGATCACCTCATTGACATGCCGCTATTGATAATTCGTACACATGTGACGAATTCAATTTTTTTTAGTTTAATTTATAAATTGTTTACTAAAAGTTAATTTCCGCTTGGGAACATTTGCGAGAACCCTCGTAACTCTAGAGTTCCCGTTTTTAAACATATGTAAGAGTCCCCGTAGTTTAAAATATGTCATTCTTTATTGAAATTCGAATCCTGTTTTAAATGCCCAAGTTCATGTAAATTATCTCGTTAATTTCGCTGTTTAGTAGATTTGAGAAATGGTATTTCACCTTTGAACCATCGAATCGTCGAGGTCCAAAGACCAAACACAGAACTAGTCTGACGAGGATATTATAAGAATCCAAACCACACCTCTTCCGTTTCTGGTGTATCCGCTGCAAGTTCCGATCGACGAGTGTACAAAGTTTTTGGAAACTAAACCTACCTAAAGTTTTTTTTTTTCGTCAAACATAATTCCAAAGTAGGTGCTTTTATTCCTAATCATAACTACTGAAACTTGTTTCTCTAACCTGAGAATCGACTAGTGTTTACCACTTAAATTTTATTACAGTCCGAAAAAAGAAGCGACTTTAGAGCCCTGTAATTGGCCGCGTAAAACTTTTTCGAATTTTGTATCCACGGAGTTGGCCGCGTAACACCCTTTTTCGAATTTCGTAATCGAATCCGCCGCGGATTGCCCAATGGAATTCGACGACGGAATATCTTAAAGCCGAAATTCAACTGTTGTGTTCCCAGGAAATTAAGTTTCAACCTTTACTCTCCTTAACACAGTCGACTTTAAATTTGGAAAACATTTCGTTGGCAACTATCCTCCTTTAATCCGTTCCCCTTCATTAAGTAATCAATTTTATTTGTCTGTGAGTACTGATTATTTGTTCAGCTAGTCTGAAAACCAAAGCGTCATCTACGATGATTTCCGTCAAATCAATCAATAATTCAGATTCAAATCGCAGTACTAGGATATTTTATTTTCCCCTTCGTGAGCATTTAGAATACCGTTTAATTTATTTTTGAAATATTTAATGACATTATTTAAAATTCGTTTTCTATTATATAGGGAGTGCCGTTATTACCGTTTAATTTGTTTCTGTTGCACTACTTTATTTTTATTCTTAATCTTTTGTGATTAAACAATTTATTTAATTGCAAATTTATTTTCTATCATACAGAGGTTCGTTTAATCGTTTAATATTTATTTTTGCGCTGTTTTAGTTATAGTATTTAACTGTTGTATTTAAATAGTTATTTAATTGAAAATTAATTTTCCTATTATACAGGGAGTACCCGTAGTATAGTTTATTTTATTCCTGATCTATTTATTTTTTATTGTTTAATTATTGTAAATTAAACAGTTAGGTTATTGAAAATTCATTTCCCCATTTTATAGGGAGTGCCGGTAACAACGGTAATTTTATTTCTGAATTATTTATTTCTATTGTTTCCTTTCTTTTACTACTGAGACTCAACCGTTTTATTACCGTATGCTAGAAGGTGTTAGGTAGTGTAGCGTTTGATTTACTTTATTGTTAGTGACTACCCTATTGACGGTGACTGCATGGAATTATTTTAACTCCACCGAGTTTACTTTGGGTGTGCTTCAGGTGCACTCCAGCGTCGCAGAGTTTACTGTATTATTAAAACTGGCGCCCGGGCAACCCTTGTTCTAGAGAACGCCCTTCCATTTACTATTAGGTAAAACAGGAAGGCCTGTCACACACGTTTGCCGAAAATATTAACGAACATATTTTCAATTGTTTTTAAAGTTTTGGATTTTGTTTGGAAGAGTTTATTTGTAGAATATTTTTGATTTTTAAGTATTTTAAGACGTTAGTTTATTATAAGTTAGCAGCTAAATTAGAAGTTGTAATAAATATTTTTCTATTCAGAATTATACAGTTTCAAAAAAAGCAGTATGTTAAAAAAATATTACGGGTTCCATGCCGTACAAGTCTAGATCGTATGAGTCTAGGCCGTGTGAGTCCAGGCCATAATTCCAGCGTAGACGAGAGTTCAGAGCGAAGTAGGGGCTCCAGGCCATGTTAACTGATTTAATTTAATTCCGTTTTTAATTTTTTTACAAAAATACCTATGTATAATTTTTTAAATTATTTTGGTAGAGATTTGATTTTTTTTTTCATTTTCTTTTCGATTATCACGGTAAATAAGCTTTTTAAAACAAACAAAAAATATATTATTATAAGTAATCTTGAAACTTATAATTTAATTAGTAACTTGATAACGTTTTTATTTTTAAGAAAGAATAATTTGTGAATATAATCTGTAAAATTGAGTTTTTATTTGATTTTTCTTAAAAAAATACTAGTTTTTCCGTAATATACCTAACTTTTTGGTATTTAAACATTTTTTGCCAAATTCGCACACCTAGGGGCCTTGACGGACTGGGAGCGCCCTATATAACCGAATTTATTTTATAAATATATTTTCTTTGGAGCTGTATTGAAACTCTTTATAAATCTTCTAGTTTAGGTGCATGGTCCCAAGCGGAAATAATTAACCCACCCTGTACAGTTGTTTCATCCGAGGTCCATCTGATATTTTGAAAACTTCAGTAATTTTGCCCTATAAAACCAGCCCGTTTCCTTCGTTGAGTAATTTGAAATAGCTTTAGATTATCACTACACTGTAAATCACTTTAAGGCCTGATAATGACCCTATGGCTGCCATTTAACGTTTACATTAAAAATCTATGAAAATAGGAATTTATTTCTTATTTTCCTACCCATTTTCATCAGTTGTCGCATCTTTAACTGACAAAATAATTTTCCCTTTCCTTTAAAAATGTATGTGCGTTTGATTTTGTAGATATATCATTTAACGTACTTTCCCCACCCTTAAATTGGTAGAAACTATATTAAATAAATAAATAAATTAAAAATCTTACTTTCCACTAAATTTCTCAGATGTTCCAGAGCTCCATTTTCCTTTTGAGAATCATTTTTAATGTCTTCAACACAGGCACCACTAGCACTCCTGAGCATTGTACCACACTTTTTAACTCAAACACAAAGATGATGATGATGATGATAATAATAATAAAAAAATATTGCGCTGCCTATAATACTATGTTGTATTTCGAACGAAATGTCCATAGGTACGGGAAATTGCAAACTTTGAACAACAATTAGGTATAATTATGATTAAAATTATATATTTCTATTAAAAATTGGTACTTATTGAATCAAACATAAAAGTGATATTTAAAACCTCTGATCGTGACATTGAAAGAGCAGGTAGGTAGGTATGTGAGCGTTTATATTTTATTTTTCGCTCTTTGCGGTCTTTCGAGTTCGCGGAATGCGGAGAACCAGCAGATGTTAATTATATTTACGAGGTGCGGTCGAATATTATTATATCATCCAAAATAGTAATAATATATACCTACCAATCTTGTAGGAAAGTTCGATATCATCCGTGTTGTAAGAGATATTTAAAAAATGTATTAACAAAAATTTGTAGGGTTTCTTGAGGGCCACATTCTAAAATTACATATAGGTATACAAGGTGTTGCATGACTCAGGTACGAATCAAACATGTTTTTTTTTAACCAAAATACCAGTTTATTATTTTAAATTTACCATTCCAGTTTTTATCTAGGTTATATACATGGTGGGCCACCGGTAACGCCTCGGTCTGTAAGGCCAAAACTATTTGATTTTTTAAAATCTGTTTTCACAGAGAGATGCATATCAGAAAAGGCAACAATTTAAAAATAATTTTAATCATACAGGGTTCTCCAAGAAAGTGATACATATCAAAGTTAGGTTTTTTTTAATGTAACACAATGAATTGCCCTTGCATTTTCCATTATAACAATACAAAAGAGTATGAGATTATACAGGGTATTACCCACACTATAACCAGTTTTATATGGAAATCCTATTTGTTTTAATGGCCTATTAACTACAAAAGAAACGTTTGAAAGCCAATTTTTTTGCTTTAAAAGGTTATAGATATTAGTCAAAATTGTATACCGATGCACTACTTTTCCAGTTCAAACAAATCTGTACAAAGTAAGTCAAAATTCAAATACATCATTTTCTCTTTTTTTTTTTTTTTTTTAATTGACCGCCCTGTATTTTATATCGCCATTTAAAAGTACCTTAATTAAAGTTTCATTTGAGTTAAGCATTCCCAATAATTGAAGTTAATAATTTTGGGAGATTTTTAAATTTTAATGAGAAAAAAGATAATTCACAAAATAATTTAATTTTAACTGGTTAATAGGAAATAGACTATTTGTTAATTAGTAATTAAAATTTAACCAGCTACAGTTTATTATCGACTGAATAAGTTTTTGACAATTTCTAATAGGACTTTAAAACTCAGTTAAAAATAAATACCAATAGCAACTAATCATAAACTAATACAATTTCCATATAAAACTGGTTATAGCGTGTGCATTACCCTGTACAATTTCACACTATTTTTAATGTTCTAATGGAAAAAGCAAGGCTAATTCAAAAATAAAATAAAATACAGGGTCTTCCATATGTATCACTTTCTTGGAGAACCCTGTATATTTAAAATAATTTTTAAGTTGTGGCCTTTTCTGATATACATCTTACTGTGAAAACAGATTAAAAAAATCAAATAGTTTTGGCCATACAGACCGAGGCGTTGCCGGTGACCCACCCCGTAGAGTATTCTAAATGCAATTGGCACTTTTGTATGAAAATCTTAAGTAAATCAACGTCCTGTAGCCAATTACATACTGTGGAAAAATAGTTTTCTTGCCTACAAGTTTTTTTAATATCTTGTTTTACACTTTTCTTTAGTAGCATTTGATTACAGTTGATTCCTCTGAAAAAAGCTTTCCCCAACAATAATTTTGTGTAGGTGAATAAAAGGCCCAATAACTGTTAGTCTCCAATTGTAATGATAGCCATTTAACTTTTATAATCAAAAGGCCGGCATATATAGGTCACTACGGCTGACAGTCGGGCCGAAGTCACTTAACCATCAAATCCATTTTTACTCTAATGTCTAGAAATAAATATATTGGCAATTAATGGCATATTTATGGGAAGTCAGCATTAGATTGCAGGCCTTTTACCATACGCTGTTGCTAGGTACACGCTAAAGTATACGCAAATCAAAAAATTATACAGTGAGCATCTTAAGTCTTACCCCCCCTATCTAACTCGTTACTGGAGTCTTGTTAGGAAAATCACCGAGACAGGTCGATTTTTGTTTTCTACAGTGTACATTTTGGTATAAATAGTTTACCCCTAATTTCATCCCTTACTAGAGGGGAGCTACCCTTTCAAAAAATTTAAATGGCATGAAGTGGTGAGTGATAGCTCATTTGAAAGGGAGTTTTATTCTCTATCCAACCGTGCAAAAAATTTTGAAATTTGCTTCATTACGTGTTGATTTATTATTGTTTAAAAATAACAAAACCTCACAAAATAGGAAAGCAACTAGACTAACAGTGACCTTTTAATGGCAAAAAGTCTTACTTCACGTCTGAACCAAAACCGAAATCATGCAGGGCCGAATTTTAATTCTAAGGATGAGTGCGCTACCTTAATTTCCGTTATTCTGAAACAACAATTAGTCGAGAATTAATGAAGCAAATTTCAAATTTTTTTACAAGGTTGAATAGAGAATAAAACCCTCTTTCAAATGAGCTATCACTCACCACCCCATGCCATTTAAATTTTTCGAAAGGATTGCTCCCCTCTAGTAAGGGATGAAATTAAGGGTAAACTATTTATACCAAAATGTACATTGTAGAAAACAATCACCTGTCTCGGTGATTTTCCTAACAAGACTCCAGTAACGAGTTAGATAGGGGGGGGTAAGACTTAAGATGCTCACTGTATACACGCGAAACGTCATATTGCTGTGGTGGGAGGTGTTTGTGTGAGAATGCGTCTTGTTTGTTTTCATTTACGCCGTGACTAGCACAGTAGTATTTTATAAACCTTAGAAGCAAATTTCACATACATGAACAAATAATAATAATGCCGTGACAAAAGGAAAACGAAGCAACGACTTCTCGTAAGGTGGCGGCTTCGCCGCCACAAAAGAATTTCAATGCATACCTAGCTACGACCGGCGTAGACACCAACGGCCTGCACACAGCTCACTTACTCTGTCAAGACGTTTCGCGTGTATATAAATTTTTGAATTACGTACAAGTTAGCGTGTACCTAGACACTGTGTTTTCCATATTAATACTGACTGCTGAATAAGACACATGACCAAACAAGCGATTCGATATTGGCCAGTATATTAGTACCGTTTGAACTATAAATTTTATAGAAAAACAAGGTATTCCAATATAAAATTTGTAGACATTTTATTTAATTCAGGTATATAATATAATAATAGAGAAAAAATATCTTCTACAGAAGATTATTCATAAAATATTCTAAATTAGTAAATACCAGCACTATGAGAATGGCCGCATAGTACATGTCCACTCGTTGAGCAATCATCGGTCTCTCCATCTATGAACGCGGGACGGATCCCTCCTGGACTGTTGGGGTTGGGTTTGCGGCAGTTAAAAGCCCTTTGACTTTTACTATGCTTTTACCCAATACAGTTACTTACCCTTCATAAGACCATCATCAACCAACATAATGCTGGGCCAATATCGAAAGGCCAAAAGTAGGCTTTTATCTTTTAAACGTTGCATTCATTTTCCCTTCAATTACAAAAAAAGACCAGCAGTGTCCTAGACGATTTTCATACAAAAATGTCAATTTGTTTTAGAGTAAGTACCCATTATAATCTGCACAAACCATATATTAGAAGAATGGAAAAATAAGAGTAATCTAAATCTAGTGTTCTGGTTTAAAAAACATATGAGTCATGCAACACCCTGTATACCTCTATATAATTTTAAAATGTGGACCTCAGCCACTCTATAACTTTGTTAATATATTTTTACATCTGTTACAATAAGGAAGATATCAATCTTTTCCACAAGATTGGTACGCCCTGTGTACTCGTGTTTTTTTAGAGTAATATCTCATTTCCTACAAGTACTATAAGTATAATATGTTATTTGCTGCTTAAGCCGCAGCTGTAAATCATATAAGTATGAAATTGACATTCCTTGCTAGTTGAACACTACTTTTTCTATGCCTGTAACACGCTGCTACTCATTTTTAATTAATTTTAATAATTTATAAAATTAAAATGGCATAGATAATTATTTATGTTTGACATTGAAAAGTGCACAGTTGCTATCGAATAAAGAAATGAAATTTCATCTCATTTCTTAACCAAAAAGTGTTGAGAACGTGTAGTTTTATATTATAGCCGTAGAAAAATACAATTTTTGCGATTTGTATTTAGACGAATATAAGTACACACAACCAAACTTATAAGGAATCACTCGGTAATTTATAAAGAAAAGGTATTCATGATAAAAATGTCGTTGGATATCATAAAGTAGTTTATTTCAACATTATGTTACTGTAAAAATTAAAAAAAAAAATGAAATAAAATTCTTTATACATATAATATCAAAAATAAATTTAGAAGTCTAATTTTATAGAAAAAAATTCATGAATAAATGCAAATTCTAAGTAAAATATGGACTTCTTCGAAGTGTTAATAATATGTATTTCCACTTCAATGAAAGCACGAATTCGTCGGAGCAAGACTGTCGATTAGGCAGTAGGCAGCATAAATAAAAAAGCCCCTCCAAAGTCGATTTATGGGATGTAGCATGTAGCCCCAAATCTACATACAACTGTGCATTTAAAAGTTTATTGCACGGGAGGAATTACTTTTCCGTAACATGATCCCAACTCAAAACATCACTGTTCCCACTTTATACAGGATATCCCAATATAAAGTAACACATTTTAACAACTTTTAACTCGAGAATGGAAAAAGATATCGATGTGCATTTTTCGCTATACTTCTAACATTTGCTTCAAGTTTTTGTGGATATAGTTGCCAAATGTATATTTTTTTCCTAAACTGCCGGAAAAAATTGCCTTTTTACTTTCCTATCTGTATACAGATATAAGGAAAGTATAGGAATCATGATTTTTTTCGACCTCGAGTTTTCGATGGATTTTTACATTTTGAGGTCCCCTGAATCCGTTTTGACTATTTTCGCGATATGTGTGTGTGTGTGTGTGTGTGTGTGTGTGTGTGTGTGTGTGTGTGTGTGTGTGTGTGTGTGTGTGTGTGTGCGTGTGTATGCGTGTGCGTGTGTATGCGTGTGCGTGTGTATGCGTGTGCGTGTGTATGCGTGTGCGTGTGTATGCGTGTGCGTGTGCGTGTGCGTGTGCGTGTGCGTGT